CTCTATTTTTTTACTTTGGTGAACTACGTGTAAAGCGAATCCCACACGTCATGGAAATCAAACATCGCTGATAATGCTTCACCGTGTAAGCGGCGGTATCCGTGAGTCACTGAACGTTTTCGTGACCCCACCCTTGTATCATTCTTTTTTCAGCTCTTTTCTGAATTTCACAGTCCGATGATAACCCTTATTTTTTTCGCGCATAAGAATATATTTGTCGCTGAAAATCTTTCACTAGGCGATCTAACGGTAAATGGACTGTTTATATATGTATATATATATTATATATATTATATATAGGGTGGGCCAAAAGTCTGGATACACCCAAATATTTCATAAACGATGCATTTTAGAAAAAAATGTTCCTTACAAAAGTTGTAAGGTTAAAAAGACTCATTCAATGTATAGTAGTTAACTTTAGACTTAATTTAACCTAAAATGGATTATGTTGTCAAAGTCAACATAAATTTTTTTAATGGAATCTCTTTTTCATTACATATTCTTGTAGCTTATTTCGAGAGCTTTCCAAAACACTATAATTAAGTTTATTTTTATTAAGTACTTTGCGAGTTATAAGGCTTAAAAGTTACAGTACTGTCGACATTAGCATTACGCAAGTCCAACCGACGGCTAAAGCCTCTTGAATGTTGTTCAGGATCATGTCCTAATATTTGTTAAGATCAAGGTCACTGACGGAGATTGTTTTTCTTATTTTCATTTTTGCACTGAAAATTCATTTTATGTTGATCTTATCCTGACCTTGACAATGCTATCCTGGGCCAAATAACTATTATCGTTGAATGTGTCTTTTTAAGACTTACAACTTTTGTAAGAAACATGTTTTTTCTAAAATGCATCGTTTATGAGATATTTTGTATCAGATATTTGGGTGTCCAGACTTTTGGCTCACTCTGTATATAATTCTCAATACTTCAGTTCCTAACACAATATCTTATTTTTTTATCATGTATTAGAATTTTCTTCGTGAACAAGAGATATTAGATATGCCAAACAAGTTTTTCCAATTCAACAAAGAAAGCATGATTCTGTTCATCGGAGAGAGGAAGGTCTCTGAGTGAAAATAAGGCATAAAATGCTGGAAAGATATTTCTTTCCATCTTGGGTCATAGTAGATTGTATCGTATAAAAGGAAGACTAGGAAAACTATGTGCCTTGGCCTCCCGAGCTTTTTCTTTTACGAATGTATAAAGCATAAGGCATTACAAAGAGCGGCGTGTGTACCGTAAGACGGATCTAGTGTGGCCGACTATACATTGTATCTACAAGTGTTTATCGATATCCTCCCCGCAGTAAGTTATACACGATAAAATCACATATTCGAACGCGAAACACGTATATATGAAAGATTCATATATTCAAACAAACTCCTCTAGTCGCGACCCTATTTTCGCTGAAGACAATCCCAGATACAATTCTCGTTATCTTCAATGTGCAACGACGTGGAATCAGCGGCAGCGTATTACACCGCAACCGTAGACGATCAAATCCATGCAGAAGAATTTAATATCGTATCATCTACATTTAATCTTGCCCAAGACTGACTCGCTGACGATAAATTCGAATAAAATCCCGATCAGAATTTCACAATGCCGACGAGGAAGTACCGAGGGCAGAAATGTTTCTTTAATAGCGCTGCTGTCGAAATGGAGCTCGCGCGTGGTCGCAGTGCCCACATGCATGGTCACGAAAAATAATATAAATGAGGAACGCAAAAAACAGGCATTAACGCAATCACAAAAAACGGGGATGATTGGATTCTAGTTGCTATGTGTACGGCACAGCGGCGCGTCCATTCGTACGGTCCACATTGATTTTCAACCGGTACAGAGATGCCAAACTCTACCAAACACGCCAATCTCTCTGAAAATACTGCATATGTACTTACGTACACATTACGAATGCAGCCGGTTGCACACGTGCGCGCGAGAGAGGACAGTTGAGTAGGCAGCTGCATTTGCGGACGAGGTGGTGGAGCGTATATCCCTGTCGAGTACTCATCGTGAATTGATTTCGCAACGTGCAATGGCGAAATTTTATCCGCAGAAAAGTGTTTCGTCACATCAAAAAGGTCATCGAAAACAGTTCAGCCATAATTCTGAAAATATAAAAAAAAAATTAATTGTTTAGGTCTAGATTTTCGTGGACCGCAATAAATATTACGGCTGAATGTTAATTACATTCGATGTAATTAACTAATGTACTTTTTAACTATTTATTTCATATTTTATTATGATCTGTCAAATTGCCGTATCAAATGTAATTAATAATATAAAAATATCTTTCATTAGATATATATGTTTCTGTAGATATGTATCATATAAGCATGAAAAATATACACATACATTGAAAGAAAAGTTGTAAACATTTACTATAAATCCTCGGAAATAAAATGTTACTTGTGACACCGCGTGCCGTTACCATTATCAATACTTTTATTCGGTTATTTTTTTAATGTTTGTAACTGTTTGTAATAGTAATGCCATTTTTAAAGTACATTTTTAATGTAACAAAAATGAATTCCTGGAAAAAATGTTATATATATAGACATATTTTATGTATAATTATATTGTATAATTATATATAGAAATTTATATAATTGTATATACAGTGATGGCAAAAAGTCCCGGAACGGTCAAATATTTCGAAAACCATCGGTATTTAAAAAAAACGCTGAAACACGCGAAACGATTTTTCAAAAAATCTATCTTTTGAGGGAGGTTAAGACCCCTCACCCCTAAGGGGGCACGTGGGGCACGAGGGGGGTCGAAAATCTTAAACGGCAACATAGGTCGAGTGGGGGCTCATTTGAAAGGTCTTCTCAAAACGAATCCAAAACACTCCGCATAGAGGGCGCTGCGTTCACTTTTGGCGGGAAAATGCAATTTTGAAAATTTTTTAGTCAGAAACATTAAAAAAGTTTAGTGTTTCGATAATCACCGGAACACGTGAAACGATTTTTCAAAAAATCTATCTTGATGGTGTAGTAAAATCCAAAACACTAAGCATTGAAAACATTACAATCATTTTTCGCAGATTGTAATCGTATCTGTTATATGAAAAACGGTTCTCGCAAGTGAAAATGACTTTCGCGACCTATAAGCGTCTTGGTTTACCAAGAATAGTAAAAGCTGGTTTTGTTCCGACACTATAGGTATTGACACAAACTACTTACAAATTGTACTTCATTTTTAATTCAAATTGCAAAATCATTATTTTATAATAATTTTGCTCATCTTCATAGGGGTACCAAAATTCTATCTGTATTCGTTATTAAAATTAAAATATATAGAGTTCAAGATAAATGTCACCGCTTTAACAAACTCCTCTTTCAGAATGCCGATTACCTTCTTAAAATGATACCATCTTTTCTCAATATTTTTTATTAGTAGTTCAATAGGAACATTTGTAAATAATTAAACATCCAATCAAACTAAAAAAAAATTTATTTCCAACATGAGTGTCTCTTAATTTTTCCACAAGTTGAAAACTATTGTTTATTTTACTGAATAGCCTGTCAATTTTTTGAGATCACGTCGTGCAAGAATGAAGCCAAGGAATGTAGGCAGCTGTTCAACGATGAAATAATGATTCTGAAAGGTATTCCCTCTTTATGTACCTTCGATAATGCGTGTGCTCTCAGTAAATTATTCTCGCTAATTGCTATTTTTTTGTAAGTTGATTTCGAGATATAATTTTTACTTTTCCATCTTTTGAGTAAATCCTGAACTTTTTTAATAATTTATTAAGTGAATTTTTCAGCAATTTCGTATAAATGTAATCTAGATCACTCATTGTCAGCATATTTGTGTGATTTTATCTATATACATATTTTTATCCGAAGTTGCTGTTACATTCCCTTTATCTGCCTTCGTAAAAATTATGTTAGGGTTATTTTTAATAAATTGCGCGAGATTCTCTTTTTGTAACAGTATTATTCAACAAAGATGAAGAAAAAAATTTTCTCAGTATCGGAATTGATAAATTTCTAATGTTCAGAATGTTCGTGGATTTCAAGAATCTAAAATTGTTTTCAATATTTTTAATGAAATCTATTAACATATTCCTTCGATATGATAACGGTAAAGAGAAATTTTGCTTATTTTCTTCTTATAAAGTTCTAAGAATTTTTTCAAAATTTTTTAATATCGTATTTTCTCATGTTGGTAAAAATATGCCATTACGAACATTAATAGTTGCCATTATGAAAATGCAGTACTATAAAGTTGATGAAAAATTCTGAAAAAATTCTTAAAGCTCTATGAGAAGAAAATAAAAGAAAATTTTTGTCTCATGCTGTTTTTTTAGTAAAGTTGGTAGTATTTGAGTAAAAAATTGTTGAAAACCAATATTTGGCAATTTTTAGTAATTAATATCTCGTTAATCATTGCGAAAATTGCAAAATGGTACAGGACTTTTCGACTCAGTTGAGTCCGCTCTATCTACAAAAAGTGTTTGGCAGAAGTCTCGTCGGATCCTATATATATGTATATTTGTTAACAGAATTGTACAATTATTATACTAAACTACACATATACATTATAGCTAATAATCATAATTATAATCTCTAAAACTTTTAGAATTAATCTTTTCATTCTTAAAAATTGAGCTGCTTTTTTTCAAGACCAATTTAATTTTCACTTTTTAAAGCGAGATTCCATTCCAAAGAGTCCAAAGAAGTAATTTAACATGTAGTTAGAGTAACAAATAACAATTTTTCAGTTTAATCATAATTGTATTACCATCATACAATTATACTCATAAAAACTTTCCTTTTAGTGTATGTATCTAATTACTTAATATTTATTTCGCACACTCGCGTAAAGAAGCCCCTCTGTGTGCTTCATCAATTTCATGAGATTAGCGATGCGTAGGTTGGCAGTGGGACTATTGCATGAGGCGAATGCAGTCGTAATCGCGCGCTGATCAACACACAAAGGACGCGGATGCGACGTCAACGTCGCACATGTCTGTTTGCGTGTTGACAGTTCGTGAGTGCAGCGCACCGGCTGTTTAGATCGTGGGTAGTAACGATCACTCACCGAGGAAGAAGGAATCAAACGGAGACTAATCAAACGAGCACGCGCTGTGATTTAACGTGATTATCGTTATCCTCCGTAGTTGTTCGCTCCGCGAATAGCGTGACGATTATGGGAGGATCTGTTCCGTGTGATTGAGCGCAAGGTGTTTGATTAGGCTTCCAATCATCTTATTATCTTGGGAAAGAAATCACGAGGTTAATTTTAACTTTTTAACTCTCCGGATCTATTATAAATCAATTATAAATATCTTTGTAACAAATATCAAACAATTCAATTTTCTTTATTATTTTCCTTTATTATTTTTATGTTACATCTGAAAATTTGGATTATTCTTATTAAATTTAATAAAAGCAAGGATTCCATAAATTTAAAATAATAAAAAGTAATAAAAGCTGTGGAAGTCAATGCAATTAACAGTGCGATTATCTTATATTGCCTATATAAAAATTTTCGTTATCTATGTAATTTTAATTGTATATAATGGATGGTGGCGCTTATGTTGTGATTCCAATAGTTTGTCTACTGTTGGGAAACCCATACATTACATAGAAAATTTGATTACGGCACAAGAATTTGTTATCTAACAATGAATAATTCATTCTGAAGATGATTCAAAGAGTAGTTGAAACGTTAAAATTCTATTATATTATGATTACGCTCCTCGAAATTATATCAAAGTTTATGGAATAAATTTAATAAATAAGATAATAAGATAATCGTTACTGAGTAAACTGAGTTGACTCCCACAGTCTTTATTAGTTTTTATTACTCTTATTAAAATGTACTTAGCCTTTCGATGTTACTCTACATCGTTTTCTCATATTTCTATCACACTGAGTATTGTAAGAAATATAAAACTAAAACAAAAAATTAAACATAAAATAAACGTATTATAATATATTGTTTTAACCGAAATACCGCGCCAGTCATCAAGGAACCGTAATAAGCAAAGATTGTGTTTGGAAGCATACTGTCAGCATTATCACGCCTATCCTCATTGTTTATTAAACACAAAACAAGAACGATAGTTAAATATACGAACACCTAAATATACAAAAAAGTCATGGCATTAAATAAAAGAAACCTTGAATGTGCCACATTATTAGGAATGGCACTAAAGGATTAATATTCATTCTTTTTTCACATGTTGTGTTACGTTTTAGCTCTTTGAAATTAATTTGTGTCCTTTAATTAATCTAATTTGAATGAATCTTGCAAATCTAGCGTCAATTTGACTATGTTACAGATTTTGACATCAGTTCCGAATTGAGAGAAAACATTTTTGGAATTTTTGTGAGTACAATTATATGTTGCCATAATTATAATTATTACTGCTATAATATTAGTGATAATAACTATATGTATAGTTTTATCAACAAATATGTATATGTATATGTAAATATACATATATGTATATATAAATTATCAATTCTGTAAAGGAGTACTACAATTGTGGGTGTCTACATTACTATAAAAATAGTTGTAATTCCTATTTAAGGTGGTTCTTTAAATCGAATAAACATAGAAATTTTTTTTTATATAATGAAGTACCGAAATTGTGCAAAATTTTATGATAAAAGGAAATTAACAAAGAAATAAGAGAGAAAAAAATGTTGTAAATGTAACTTTTCACTACAACTTAATGACAGATAAGATTCAGAGATACTTCTTTGACTAAACGTACTCAAATCTTACTCCATGATAACCTTTTTTCTTAAAAAGAGATTATAATAGTTTAAAAAATTACGATTTAATGGTCATAAAAAAGTAAATTAATTTGGAAAAATATGCATAAACTTGCATATAAATTTAACCTCGAAAAATAAATATGATCTCACCTTGTTTTCGTTCGATGAAGATGCAGCTCTTGATTTATCATATCGTATGTTTCATACTATTTCATTAAGATATACAGATAGTTTTAATATTTTATCCAAATTATGCAGATATTTATAATTTTGGGCGGGCCCTAGGCTTCTCAAATTTTCGGCACTCTAAATCACCTTAACCCTCACCGTGATGAACAAAGGTCATTTGTTCCATGCTTGATTTCGAATATTCGCTCTTAGTGAGAAAATGACGCCCACTGCAGGAATTTTATATAGGCATCTTACCCCACTCCACAAATTTTTAAGGAGCAGAACGGCGCGCCCATACTTAATTGTTTTCAAAATATGCATGATTTGAAAAATTGCCTGATTACAAATGATTCCCCCTCCCCCCGTTTATGGTGCACAGAGAGGGTTAACTATAATTTATTGTTTTGGACCAATCATATATTATGGTTGTAAATACCAATAATTCTTTTCTCAATGCAGATAGTTAATAAGTTTGTAAAATAAAGCACATAGCTTTAATTCATATTAAAAATTTTCGTAGTTAAATTTTCTAATTATCCTACATTTCCAAACTTAAATAAAATGACTTCCCGAAACGTTCCTATGCTCTTAATCTTCTTCTATTACACTCACAAGAAAGTTGTCGCACGTCCTTTCTGCACCGTCCGATCTAATTAGTGCGAGCGCGACAAATTAATTCCGTGTCATTGTAACGGAATTATCGCTACAATTATCTTCGTTACGAGAATACGAGAAGGGCGATTAGAGACGCCTTGAATTAGCGCGCTAATTCGTTCCAATATTTTTCAACAGCAGGTGTAGCATTTCGAGGGCAAGTGCCTCGAAGGATTCGTAGAGTTCGGCTCGCCCTCGCTCTCGCTCTCGCTCTCGTCTCTCACCATCCTGGAACGGAGGATTTATGACCCCTCCCGATAATCCTTCGTTGCTCCTTTTTGGAAATAAACGTCTCCTTCTCTCTCTCCCCCGCCGCGCTGCGGCGAATCGAGAAACGGGATGGACGTCGGCGGCGGCCTCGTATTAATCACTCCGCCGCAGACAGAGCGCGTGGCAGATAACGTTATCGCGTCGGTTTCTATTACGCCGTAACACTTTCCGAAGCGAAGGGGTCGACCGATAGCGGCCAGCAGAAACGCGCGATGGTTCGTCTAGTTTGCAATTTATGAATGCGGTTGCGCTTACATATTTGCGAGCCGTGTCCGTTCTTTTCTCACGGTTTTACTCCCTGATGACTATTCATGTGACGAGAAAAGATATTTAAATGGGACATATATATATATATATATGTACACACGCATGCACGCACGCACATATATATAAACATATATACGGGGTAAATAACGCTCACTAATCATACAGTGCTATTCCTAATAAAAACTTAATGGAAAAGTCCTCTACCATTATGCAATTTTCGCAATAATTAACGAGATATTAATTTCTAAAAATTGCTGAACAAATGGATAAAATCGATGTATAAGATAATTTTAAGATGTCTTTCAGTGTTCTTTATGAAATATTTTGGAGATGTTTCTTAAAAAACTCTTCTCTGTCGATTTTAGACATTTTACTCATTGAACAATAAAAATATATTTTTGTCACAAATATTTCTGTTTATATATTTAAAAAAAAATATAGTCAATGTGTTAATAAATATTTAGTTAAATACTACCAATTAAATATTTATTAAATATAAAGATATATTTATTTGCTACAAGAACCATTAATTTGATTTGACAATTATTCTTTTTATTAAACAAACATTTATTTACTGTAAATAAAAATGTTTAGTTGGCAGTATGTGTGTGGAATTAAATATTTATTAAAATTGATTATATTTTCCTCAGTATAAAGAAAGTGAATTCTATAAAAAGTAATAATCAATAAGTAAGACAACTTAGACATATTGAATGTATACATATTGATTATAACGTTTTTTTTTGTATTTTTATTATTCTAAACCATTGTAATCCACCTGCTAAACCTGTTTAGTACAATGATTTGATTTTTATTTGGTGCCTGACGCCAGCTCTTGTCACAAACGCGATTCGCCCCGAATCGAGAGCTGTAATTGATTGAGTCGCTCGTGCGGTACTGGAACTGTTCGACGGCCATGAGCGCATCTTGCCGGCTAACGGTGTCATTCTGTTCCTTGCCGTTGTCACCATGCAAGCAAACCACCGTATTCTGTATTCACGAACAAATAAATATCTTAATCAAATAGAAAGAAGAACAGTATTAATTCTCGACCACGCCCAATCGCGAGGAGATAAAATTTCGCGTATCAATCGTGTGTACAAAACATCATGAAGATAAGTAGACAAATAAATATGTAAACAAGTTTAGAAAATAGTTTTTTATGTACTCTTATATACTCGTATGTCAATAAACATGTCAATACGTTAATAAACTTATAAACTTGTAAAAGAAACATGATAGATCACTTTATTTTCCGTCGAACATTTTTTAAAAAAGAAGAAAACATATACTTAGACTATATTGAGTACATGTGTATCCAGTATGATCTCAATGCTAAATAGATATCTCTTTTTAATCTTTACCCAAATATAATCTTTGTACAAATATTTGGAAATATCTTATATTTTCTGTTAATGTTCTGAAATGTCCTTCTTTTGAATTTAATCACCAGTTTTAATTTTAAATCCAACAAAAAATTAGAAAAAGTTGCAAAGCTTAGATAAGCCACAAAGTTTAGACAAATCAGGTACAGTTACTTTAATTGGTTTACAATCCTCATATCGTATATTTTTTTCACTTCGACGGAACACAATACGACATTCAGAAATACTGTGGCTTAATTTTTTTTCCTGTGGAACAACGAAACTGATTACATCGCGACACGGTAAAAATGTGTTCGCGTTATAACGCACCTTTACTTGCAACGACAATGATGACGACAAGGCCACAACCAGGGCCAGCGAAACACGGTAAGCGAGTTTGGCACAGCAGGGGGGGGAGGGGGCGCCATGTTTTAGGGGCGCCTGACAGTACTATATTGTACTGAATGAGATTGAAATACATTTTTTCAATAAATTACAAAATACATAAAATGTCTTGAACTATGCAGCATTACAAAGCAAATAGTTATGATTCGTGACTCTTTCATGCATTTTGAAATTCTTACAAAAAAAATCTCAATCTTAGTAATCATCAAGTATATCGATATATCGTCAAGTGTATATCGATATATATCTTTTGATTTTCGCAATTTTTTTTCTCAACTTTTTTCTTCCTTTCATAATATTCATCGTTTTTTTTTTAAATAATTGTTCTACAAGATTTAAATAGAGATATACGCGTTGGTAAATAGTCGAATGTAACTTTTTTTTGTTTAGTTCTTTAAATTTAAAAATTTAATTTAATTTTTTAACAAATATTTAACAAATATTTTACACAAGTAGTAATTACTGTGTAAAGACATTATATGCAATGTTTATTGACATTTTTGTCTTTACATTTTAGGAAATCAATTCTTCTATTAGATATTGGATTATCATATCAAATATTCGAAGCAGTGTAAATCTTGCACAGCTGTTTTTGAATCGCGAATCGCGCATAAATTTGGCGTGCTTTAAAAGTTTTGAACATCTGAACAAAAGAAAACTTAGTTACGAACACATCTCTAGATACCATCGAAAGAAAAAAAGTTTTCAGAATGTTCGTTAGTTTTGGGCTGTAAGTTGTAGGTTTGAAATTTGATAACTAATTAAAAACCCTACATGTAGAGCGCTAACTTAAAATTTGCGGGGAGCGCCAAATACTCTAGCACTGTCTCTGGCCACAACGATGACCAACGACGGCAAGTCGTCGCACTCGTTTCGTGTCTGTAGGTAGCGTGGAATTTACGCCGCCGAAGATATTCATGGCTCGTTGGCGAGTTTATTTTACTCATAAATTATATGCTCAAGTATTCCGGCAGTTCGCGCGGCGTGTACGCCGTATAAAAGAGAGATGCCGCCGCCGACGGTTCTGTGGTTCAACAAATACTTCAAGTCTGCGCGAGAGCCGCCGTCAGACTTGCCGAGGAAGCTGTAATTTACACTCTCACACCGTAGTCCTTCCCAAGAGAATGAGAGGTATGGTGTTATAGCCGGTCGATCACGAGCTTCTGTCCCTCTCCTCCTCTACGCTCCCACGACTTTATCTTCCCCCTGGCCCGATAAAAGCCTCTTTTCTAAATAATCCAACATTTTCTCACGTCGAATGAGATACTCCCTGGCGGAGTGGAGGTGATGACTCTTGAGAACATAGCACGTCTTGTGCCACATCGATAATTGAAAAGTTCGAAGATCCAGACGGTACAATCCTCCAAAACTTACGCCGCAACAGACTAATATCGCTCACGAGAGATTTCACGATTGCGATCATCGAAAGAAGCAAATATATTTTTATTTTGTACGCATAAAATTACGCATTTTCAAATATGTTTCTATATCCGTTCTTTTATTCTTTGTACAATGAAAAATTTAATCTTATTAATTTTATATTGTACACTTATGGATAGAGCAGTGCTACTCTGTCAATTTCTATTTCAGTTATAATACAAAAGCTTTAACTATAACAGTAAACTATTTTTCTCTTTGCAATAACGTGCTCACTCATATTGCACGAATCTTTAAATGTTGAATTTGCGCTGTTTAAAAACATAAACATTATTGCTTGCCCTATAGAAAAAGCCGAAAAAGACTTGCTCTATCGTATCTATTATATAGGTAACTCTTCGTATTCTGTTTTGATACATATCAGATTATCCGTGTTTTACAATTTTTTTGTTTATGCAAACACTAATATCACGTATTAAGGGAGTCTTTACGTTTGAGCGCCGATTTTAAAGGCATTTTTTGAGAATTTTTTTAATGAATAAAAATTTAGGTATACTTAAAGACTGATACAGTTCTAGAAAGTGCGTATAATGTATAAAAAAATGTGCGTATAAAAAATATTTTTTGTAATGTCAATTTTTTATAGAGTAGTGATGAAATGGCACTAAAATTAGACCTAATCGCGAATGGTCAAACGGTGATCAAGGTATATACAAGTCGTATCGTAGGTCTGAAAGCAAAAAAATAGAATTTTTTTTAATAAATGCATTTGTAATTCTCGCTTAAATTAATATTGTACGCATATTTTCAAAATGGCGACAGTTTAAAGAAATAAATCGAATTTTGTTCAGTTTTGTCCTCTTACTTGACCTTCCAAAAAATAAAAAAAAATTAACGTAGACTATTAATTCTAATTCAAGCGATAATGACATGTTTTCTGAGTATAACCGTAAAAATAGAAATCAGTCGAGCTATAATAAGTTTTTTGGAATTGTGATCACTATATTCGAAAAACATGGTTTCGAAAAAAACGCGTTTAAAGTTTTATAATAAGAAATTTTTTGAACTTTTTTGCTATAATATGTCAAAATTTTTGAACTCATCATTTATTCCATACTATTCCATTATCTATTCCAGGATCATAATCTTCCTCTACTTTATAAAAATCATTTTGTATTGCTCTCTCCTCTCGAATAGCAATCCTTTGAGCTTGTGGATGCACGATACTCCACTTGAGATGGACGTCGAATTAAAGATACAAACTGCTAGAAAATTTGCGATTCCTACTACTGCTTTAGAGTAAATGTGTTTAGGAGCAAACATCCTGTTAATGGATTTAACGACTCGCATCAATGAATTTAATGATTCATTAAAAAAACGTTATAGAATAAAAACGTTCTAAAATGATATCGAAAGGTTGAATATAATGGCGAACGTCGATTATGACAATTGGTTGGCACACGCTATTTGAATCAATGAAGAGATCCCAAACCACCACGTCATTTTATCTCGTATATCTTGAAAAATTTTCGTTTCTCCCAAAAAAATGTTTTTGTGAGATATTCTTAAAACTATAAGTTTTCCAAAAAAGCAATTAAAAAAATTAATTTTTTGACTCCTCAAACGTAAAGCTCTTCTTAAGCGCTAATAAGTAATTATTTAAACTGTTAAGTGTAATCATTCATTAAACAAAACAAACGAAAGAGAATTTTTATTCGTTCTCCTATCTTATATCCCGAACGTGATTATCCCTGAATAATAAGATACCAGAGGCGATTTTACGCGAGAAAGCCAGGAGTCCAGACATCGGCGAGGCAGAAAAGAAGAAAGAGGAAGGGGTAGAGCAAGGGGAGGGGGTCTAGGCAATAAATCGGCGATTCTTGAGTGCCCCGTGGGAATGAACTGACGAAAATATAGCGGCGAGCCGCAAACTACGAATTGTTAGTTACTGCGCACCGCCGTGAAATATATGAGCCGGCGGCCGTTCGCGAGAAAGGCGGAATGTACCCACAAAACCCTGGAGGGTCGCGCAAAACGGAAGCCTATCTCGAAAATTCGACACCTCGAATCGCGAGCCTCGAGAATAAGCGTTCCCTGATTGTCGGACTGTAGCTCACCTAAATTGCTAATCGCACGAAGGTTGTATATGAAAATCCCCTCCCCTCTCCCTCTCTCTCTTCCCCCTCCCCCTCCACCTCCCTCTCTCTTTCTCTCACAAATTTCAAGAAAGAGAAATCTAATATCATTCATACTTCTATCGACGTGATTTCTGCAATGAAAAAAATGGAAAACGTGTTTGTTAACATATAATCTGAAATCAGAATATTGTCTCGAATGTAAAAGTTGATATATGCAAGTTTTTGATTACGTGAGCATAAATGAATTACATTGTTATCTTCGATTTCACGCGCATCTGCTGGTGGCTAATCATATGAGTAATTTTTATTTTTGTACTCGTCAATTTGCATGCAACGTCGAGATACGTGCAATGGATGGCATAATAAACGGAACTATATTTGCGAGAGTCAATAAACATGGATAAAAAAAACGATAATAAAATAAATATTGCACAAAAATAACTTCATATACCTGTTGCAATATTTCGCACAAATACAAATTAATTTGACCTAACGAATACGATAATTGACTCTGTTCAATTATCGCGTATGATAAACGAATCCATTTTTTTTTACCTAGAAAATTTATCAATCCTATTATACAGATATTTCTATCCATTGTAACTTTATATAGTCCAGAAAGCACACAGTAAATAAATGTATCGTACATTAAAGAATAAGTTAATTATCGCATCTCTCAGGTTCGAAATTATTACATAATGAATAAATTTTACACAATACACATTGCAAATAAATATTTATAAGAAAAAATCAGAAATGAA